AGAAACAGATTAGTCCTTGCACACTTTCAGTCATTCCAGCAAAGGTCTGTTATGATCACAGAGAAGAGAAAAAAAATAGAATGATCTTAATCTTCAGTGCAACTTGCATAATGCTTTTGTAAAAGAAGAGATATGAAACTAAGAAGTGAAAGAAAAAGTGGTTCTTCTGACGTTACAGAAAGCAAAAGTGAAAGACAGGCTGTGTCAGTCCAGTTTGGTCTTTTGCATGACTTCTAGAATTTGAAGCAAGATTCTCACATGGGATAAAGTGATGTGGCTCCATTGGCTGTAGTGTAAACTCACCAGTTTATGAATGCTGAGGACTCAGTCCCATTCTGTTTACCACAATGCAACTTTTCTAAGGAATGAAGAACGCAAATATGGAAAAAGATGTTTCAATGGTGGGACCAAGCATAGGATTTAAAATACCTGAGATAAGATTCAGCTTGGGCACAGGGTTCCGACACAAATATGGGTACCTCTTCTCTGGGCTCAGTTCCTCACAGATAAAACAGTGTTCCCTAAGGGATGCTGTAAGGATATGTGTTCTAAAGATTGGGGCACTGGGGTCATACAAATGTTTGATAGAGACCCCAGGAAAAGCTGAAGAACACTAAACACCGTCAAGATGGTGAGCAGTGTTGTTAAGCGGGCGTGTACAAGCCATCCCTCATGCAGGGATGTGCCATCTTGATATTCTTTGTTTACTGAAAGGAAAAGGAGCACTGGATGCAGGTAGCTTATCCTCCAGGAAGCAGCAATGAAAAACAAGCAGCTTATCTAGCCCTGCAAACCCCCTTGCTTCCTTTCCCTTCAGCAGCAGAGAGCACGATAAAAGCTGAGACGAGTCTCTGTAGGAACCCAAAGCTGTGAATCTTCCTCTCATCCTGTCTGGCCAAAATCCCTTCATTCGCAGGGGGAATTTAGGCCAGAGATCACCAGTTCTAGCTCTCCGCCAGAATAACAGAGGAGAGGGTTAGAAAGGAAGAAAAACAGCCATAACTCAGCAAGTACAGTCAGAAAGAGAGGAGTAGGAGATGCACAAAATATGTAGTCCTCTGCTTTGTTTCCAGCTATATCCCCACCCTACTGACACTTTCAGATTTCTCCCACCATGACACTGGGTGGTAATTTTTTGTTATTTATAAACAAGGATATCGTTTGCCATTTAGAAGAAGAATGGAGCCTGGGACACGAATAGATTTCTGCTGCTTTGGGAAGGGGTTGCAAACTCATTCTACCTCCCATTCAATTATGGGTTTGTATTCCAGCCTTAGGAATAAGACACTGACAGATACTTGGGGTTCCCTGATGCAGCCTTACTGAGGGACATCCCCTACAACACAGACAAGACAGTATGGCACTGGTCCACAGCTTGTTGGGCCTGCTGGCACTTGCAGGACTTGGGATAGGAAGGGGCAAGTTCTCCATCACAAACACAAAAGAATTAGAGAATGGAGAAAATCAGAAGGGAAAACAAAAAAGGTGCAGCTGGAGTTTGAGGTGGTTAAAATGAAAAATGGGACCGTGCAATACACAGGCAGATATATAGATCAATCAATCGATGTCGTCTACACTGACATACTTTGGAGCTATAATTCACTGCTGGGGCAATTATTCCAGCATAGCAGCGGCAGGAGTTATATCAGAGACAGAATTCAGGTGCTTTTAGTCAGGGGAGAGTAGGACAACGAAGGAGTAAAAATTGGTTAATGCCATCCACCAGTAAAGATACATGGGATATAAGTTATGTCTGCAGTTGCAGAGCATAGAGGGAAAGATAGACAGATAAATAGACACATAAAACTCTGAGTTTTGGTTGTGCAATCATTCGCTGTTTGACCTTATCCTCGCCTCCTCTTCACTACTCTTGGAGAGAAGAGTGTTTAGCATTATTGTGTCCCAGTCTCTTTGCCATGTTATTGTTGACTTCTTCATCCCCCTGCACTGAGTAAGTGGTGCTGCCTCTGGAAGGTGTGAGGAATTTTTCTTCATAAGCCTTGATGTGTTCAAGAGAGGGCTGGGCTCATCTCCGCTGTGAGTCTGACAGGGGCTTTAACAGCCTCACAACAGCAGGACAAATAGCTCCCGGTCCCTTAACCCTTCTCAGCTTTGCAAGGCAAGGCCTAGCACTGTTGTTCCCATTGCAAGGGCTTTAGACAGACTTTCAAGCTGAAATCCTCTCCGTGGTGGTTGGGCAGAGCGGAAATCCAGGGGCTGGATCAGATTGGCCTAATGCTACAGCAGCTTAAGCAGTCTGTTTTACCAGAGATTATGGTTTCACTTACACAGAGCGCCTGAAAAATGCTGCGGTTTAGGAAGGATTATAGCTGAAAATTCCATGCTTTAAAAGAGAAATAAAGCAGAGGAGGGACTAGGAAACCCAATGTGCCTGGGGGCTGTGCAAACAGGATTAACCTCTGCCCATAGCACCTCTTGCTTCTGCCCACCCACGCTTCCCATGTCCATCTTCTTCTCTGCTCTTCCCTCCCCAGTGGCTCCCCACACCTGCTCTCTCTTGCACAATACAGAGAGCTGAAAAAGGAGCCTGGAAAATGCCTAGGACCAAAGTGTCCCTAGTTTATTTAGGTATGACTGTAAAATGGCTTTGTTGAAAAATATCACTTCACTTGCAGCGTCTGAAAGCCCAAGGAACTTTTGGCCCTCTGCCTGCAGATAGACCTATTCATTCAAATTATCTAGTATCAACATTATTTGGATAAAGGCTTCAGTGCTCCCAGACTGCTGGTGGTGACTCTGCCTGTCTGGCCTGAAGGTAGATCAGTGCACTCCTTGCCATCTGATGACAGATGATGCAGGAGAAAAATAGTTTTGGGGGTTCTCCATTTACAGAGACTGGCACTGGCACGTGAAGGCTCACTGGTAGCATTTAGGATGGTATATTTGTAAAAAGCAGAAGCTGGGCGCTGATGTGCTGGTGACTTTAATTAACTGAGCAACAAGAACCAGATACTCCAGCTTCTACTCCCTGTATCCTCTACAAAAGGTCTTTGCCAAACAGAGCTTCCTATAGCAAAAAGGGAGAAGAAATGACAATCCTCACTTAGCATACCAGAGACTTCACATAAGTAAACTAAATAAAGAGGAATTGTACACCTTTTGGCCAAGACCAATCCTTCCCAATCAACTGAACCATGAACATATATCTTTGCTGCAAAGGTGTCTCAGTGATCAGAGAACTTTGCTGGCCATCCAGGTTAGAGGTACTTGGAGGAGAACACAGATGGCAAACTTATTTTTGCCAGGTAGCAAACCTTGAGGAAACAAATGCCTTGGGATAAACAACATTCACAGATAGAAACTGCCCAGCCCTTTATTGTCTAGGTGAGCATTGCAGTCTCGCAATAAGGTGCCTACAGTTAATTAAGCCAGTTCTACATTAATGAAGTCAGATTTATGGCCTAATTATACGTCACATTTGTATTTCTCTGTATAAATCAAAACCACCAGAACTAACTTATTTCATAGGCTACAGGCAACACTTGCCATCAGGGCAGAGAAATGGCTTTCATTTGTTTGCTTTAATTTGTTTACCTGAAGGTGGATGGTTTGCTAGATGATTTAGATTGGATCTGATCACATCATCCACACTTCACTTTCAGGTGTTCAAATACGGGACTTTATTACTGCTGACGCAACACAGCAGGTGTTCTGGAGTACCCTTGCTTTAGGTCACAGAGTTCTCCAATCCCCAAACTTCTTACTTGGCAGCCAAGTTAGGAGCAGTTGTGAAGCTCTATCTATTGTGCCTATGCAAATCTGCATATAAGAAATGGAGGCCAAATGCAAACAACAATGATAATGAGACCTTTTATAAGTCCCCTACATTTCCCCTCCTCCATTATATCTCTCTGTCAAGGTATCTGTCTGGCAACACCGCACTCTGGGAACAACCAGAGTCAGTACTGACTGCTTCTGTGGTTAAAGCTCCAAAGTGTGCCACTGTGAACAAGAGCAATTGATTGATCTGTCTGTCTATCCACCTATTAATTACACAGTCCCATTTTTATTTTAACCACCTCAAATGTCAGCTACACCTCTTTTGTCAAAGCTTTTATGGAGTTTGGCTTGAGAAGTTTTGGCAATTACACCAAGCATCCTGTTTAATAGATACCCATAACAACGCTGCTCTCCTGGGGAAGGGTTACCTTGGGTTTGAAAAGACAAAGGGGTACAATTCCCTGGGCCAAACTGTGTAAGTGTAGCATCTTCATGCGCCCTTGGCCAGCAAGAGAAAGAAGCAGGAAAGGGAGCACAGAAGCTTCAGAGCATTCTTCTTCCCAACCCTACGCTTCTTCCTGTCCTCCCTCTCCTGCATGTTCCCTCCCTCACCTCTCCTTTTCCTGCATCCCATTCCTCCCATCTGCCACTGCACTCCATTCTCCTCATCTCCTGCTGCCCCTGCAGAGGTATCCCTGCAGTCAGAGCCTAGCCCTCCCGGTGCATTTACTGCTGTTGTCTCAGCACTGGCTCCTCTGATCTACTCCTAACCTTTTTATTTTTATTTTTGTTTTAAAATTAATTTCCCTGTAGATTTTAACCACTCCATTTTCATTTACCCATTTTGTTCTTCCTCTCCTCCCTTCCCCACCCTCCTCTTCCTCCCCCTGTTCCCTTTGTCTGTCTGTGTCCATCCCTTACCCTACCACAGAAAACCTCTCCTCTCCCCTCAGTATAAAGCAAGAGCCTCATGGAGCCTCTCTCACCCCTTTCACCCCCACCACGCCGGTCGGCTCTGGGCAGGCTGATCTTCAGCCCTTCCACATGGCCCTTTCAGACGATGCGTCCACGCCTTGCTACAGTGCCTTCCTTCATCATGGTGCCCACTTTGGGCAGTCCAGCAGCCAGCCTCTGATAGCAGGTAACTGGCCTTGGCCACAAACTCAGTGGGGATGCTGCAGGCAAGGGGTTCAGTCTCGTCTGATGGGGAGACCAGTAAATGTTGCAAGTTCTTTGAGTGCAAGTGGGAACCAGAGCTACCATGTTCCAGTTCTGTGTCTGCAGGATGTGCTCTCAGTTCCATGGACAGTCACAAAAATATTTCATGCCTGTCCTTCATTTTTTTGGAATAAAATGGGAAAAGAATCTGTAACTACCTAGAAGTGATTGGGTGTCCCAGTTGGATGGGTCTGGAACTTAGCATAGAAGCACTTGTACAGTAAAATCTCGTGTTGCCTCAATAGCCCTAATGCCCCTGAGTACTGTAGGCCCAGGAGGGGTACTGTGTGCTAGCCTAAGGCAGGTGATAGCAGCTTGAATAACCAGGCCAGCTCTAGCACCGACAGGGTTGGTTGTTCAGCATGGGTTGTGCAAACTACTAAGTTAGATAAATACATAGGCAATTGGTGAGCACTGCCATAGCTATATTGTGAGCAATATTTAAGTCTGGTTTTGGGAGTGTCAATGTAAGCTGGTGCCTTCGCACAGCAGACCAAATAGTTAAGAAACAGGACATCACATCTGAATGTCAAGACCAGGAAGGGTGGCTGAGAGACTATAATGTCTTATAGCCAAAGGAATACAGACCTGAGGTAGGTGGCCTTTAAGGGAAGGAGAGAAGGGAAATAAGTTGCAGAAGATGGCAGCACTTAGGAGCAGCAGGATGGAGGGGAGGACAGGGAGGAAGGACAAGTTTCAGGTAGGTACTAGGGGAAACTCCTGTGCAAGGTGACTGAAGCAACATCACTGCAGAAGCTCAGGGTTGGCTTGGATGAAATAGTGGGTATCATTTTAAGTGACCACTGAGGGTGTTGTCACTCCACTGTCAAAGAATGCAATTTGGGCTTTTTCAGAACAAAGTCTTAGCACAGACCACAGTTCCTAATGCTCAAGAAACACATCTTACCACTGCCTCCTTCATGTCCCTGTATTATTTTTCTCTTTGATCTAACATCCTCCCTTTGTCGTTAGGTGAGATTTTAATTTCTAAACCTCCCTGTAGGAAAGCAGCAAGTAACAGCAGAGAAAACTTTTGTGTTCATAACACTGTCTTGGTCCAGTCTTACTGCAGCTAATAAGAGCCTCTGAGCTGTGGGGATTTCCTAAGTCAAGGAGCCCCCTGACAGACTCTTCCCAACAATATAGTTCTCCGGGGATGCAGTCATATATGACCCCCCTCTAGCCTAGAAGGCACTGTGTTTCAGGAAAGGCACCTGCCTTAGGACTCTTATGGAGAATTAGACATGGGAGTGTTCAAAAGCTCAGTGTCACAGTGATGAAGTTCCTCACTCATAAGGTTCTTGGAGAAGGGAGAATGGCTGGAGTTGGAAGCACATTATGAGCAGGATAGGTGCTAGCACTGCCATAGCCCTGGAGTACAAGAATTTAATAATCCTGTCTACCTATTGGTGATGAGAGGAGGTAATGGAAGGGGCCTGCTTGTATGTAACAGCATTTTGAGAGTCTCTCTGTGGGACTCTTATTCATGTTGTTGATACTGTACTTGTTTGTTATCTTCTTTTTCAAGATTGGGATTTTGACAGATGATCACTTCCATACTGAGTTTTGAACATCAGCCTCTGTGCGCTCATGTCTGAATAAAAACAGAGGTGTATGTGCATAGATGGAGTAGGAAAGTGAGTGTGTATGTGTTCCCACCTGAATGGAAGTGTCAGAATAAATTAATTTTGCCTGCTGCTACATAATGTTCTCTCTAACTTTTCAGTGACACTGTTTTCTCACTCATCACCTGTTGTTACTTCTCATGGTAGTCAATAAGTGAAACCAAAAGAGCATGAATTTTAAGCATAGAACTTTCTTGCCTTAAAAGAATGTGAGGGAAAAAAAAGAACTACATCTAGTAGGTGTTAATCATACAGCTTAACACACAGCTACAAATTGGTAAAAGAAATGATGGTGATAAAAGAGTAGAAGAATGTAGAATATAAATCCCTCATGCATTATATATTTATTTTTATCAGTATTGGGGAGTGGCTGGAAAATGGCTCAGCTGTTATGTGGTAGTTCTGTGCCATTATCTAAGAGAAGGTGAGCTAGGAACATCAGCCACTGATCAGGAACCTCTTCAGGGAGAAAGAATGAACTTGCATTTCTTTTTTCTTGAGCAAACCACCTCAGTAATCTTTAGTCAAGCCCTATGAAAGCAATGACACTGGTTTAGCCTACTTCATTCCTGAGAAACTTCCTCCCTTCAGGTTAATGCTCCGTGTTCATTAGTTTTTGCTTTGCTGTGTAACTTATTTATTTCTGATTCCCTGGCCAAGGTTCATGCTTGTTCCAGGGCCTGCTTTATCAGTTATCATTCTGCCACTAATAGAGCTAAACCAACTCTTATTCTTATTTTATTGGCATATAGTGACTCTAGTAGTGTTAATGGGCTATACTTAACCTGTCACTTCTAAAGGCGAACCACATTCCAGCCCCCGACTTAGAACAGACAGGAGAGACAAAATTTATCAAAGGAACAACAAATGCCACAAACTTCTTGGTGAGCTACAGTTCACCTAGTGAATGTGAAAGGCTTTGGATGCCTGGATCAGGGTGAGATCTCAATAGGCAGCATTGGAGGTTGAGCTGTAAATCTCCCAGCAGCTGTGGGGGAAAGATTATCTTAATTTATTTAGCCTTTTTTTTTTTTTTTTTGGCTTGAAACTCCCCGCAGCTTCTGAGATGATTTTAGTTCATTTAAATGCAATAAGCACTAACAGCAAATGCCCTTCTGGCTGGCCCATTTTCAGGCTAACCAGTCCAAATGAGGAAATGCCTCTGGCATCAACCAAGAAGCCTCCAGCTGCACTTCCTAAGAAATGAAAAATAAACTACAATCATTGACCCAGTCCACACCCCTCTCTGCTTCTTTGGTGGAGAAAAGATATCACAACTTTAAGTATTACTAAAAAGAACTTGTACCTGTGATAAAAATTAAATGGGACTCAAACGAATTTGCATGATTCTTTTATTATATATGTTACACCAGCACGTGGAAGGAGTCCAACCAGTACTGATCTCATGCTAGCACTATGCAAATGTACTAAAAGTGTGCCCTTGCACCAAAGAGTTTGCAGCATAAAAAGCAGCACAGAGAGGTGAAGTGACTTGCCTAAAATCATCAGCAGGTGAATGGCAGAGGCGGGAAGAGAGACAGGCACAGAAAACTCTTGGATCACTTTCCAATGCCTTGCACATTGACCATGCCCTAAAGCAACATCACCACAGTTTTGGAACTGCATCCACTGCATATAGACAGGACCTCAGCTACTCTGGCAGTGAATACACTGCCAATCTCTGTGCAGTTCAGGGCCATTTTGATTTAGTTAAAATAGATCCAAAATCTACAATGAAACAAAAGAAATTCTTTTGAGCCTCACAAAGCTAAGTTTTAACATCCATCCTTACGGGGTGAGTTCAAAAGTGCCACAGTCTTCCCCCAAAATTTTCAGTGGATGGACAGCACCTACGTAAGAGAAGGCTGCATAGCACTTGCCTACCAAGCTGCTAGTCATGTGACAGTGGGACAAAAGGTGATATTGAATCTATATTGAAAGACTTCATTGCTATTGATCACCTGTTCTGGTTCTTTCTCTTTCCAGGTCGTGATATGGCAAGCACCACCTTACCTGGCTACCCACCCCATGTTCCCCCAACTGGACAAGGCAGCTACCCAACCTCAACTCTTGCAGGGATGGTTCCTGGTAAGTCAGCCCCCAGACTTCAGAAATGGTGCATATATGTTTGAACAGTATACTAGCATTGTAAGAGATTTTACAGTGGGCTTTGCTATTGCTTTGCTGATATTGAGGGCTATTCCTTTCATAAAGAAATCTTCAAACGCCTATAACCAATGTAGCTAACAACTCTTTTTGTAACATATCTTTTTTCCCCTGGTAACTGATTCACTGCTGCTATGGGCAACTAGCTATCTATAACCTGTGGCAATTAATTGGTAATTAATTAACCTTAGTATTCATTAACTAATGTAATTATTTCCCAATGACCCGTGCAGATTATTATGTACTGCTCGTGGCTCAGGATATTCAGCTATCCACTAAGTTAGAGTAACAACTTATCTTATATCACAAGCCAGGGCATCAAACTGAAAATCATCAATGGTAATTTAGTACCTGCAGTTCTTGGAGACCTACTGTCCATAGCCTAAACTAGCTAAGAACTTGGCAATGATTAACAGCATTTCAGGAGAAACTAACTATTCACTTTCAACAACCAACTACTTACCTACCTCCTGTTTGTAAGATAGTGACTCCAATCCAAGAAACTGTTTACCTAATCCTACATCCAAAGGCAAACTGTTTCTTTGCTACCCAATGCCTTGGAGAAATACCTTCTCTTGGCATATGGATTCTCCCACAGTTTAGGAAGAAGAGAGGTCCATTTACCCTAGGGCAATTGAAGAGTTTATTACCCCAGGCTCTATTCCCCACTCCTCTGATGGAAATTATCCCCAGCAGATAAATGAAGAGGTAGGATTTTTGTTTCTTGGCCACAGTAGCTCAAAACACAGAACTTCATCTGCCACTGATTTCTGTTTCTGTTACTGCCCTGGGTTGTGGGTTGTGATGGCTAATGAGCAGGTACACAGTCCATTCTGCAACCTCTGCTACTGAGGGGATGACTCCACAACTGAAGCAGCAGAAAGCTGAGGACAGAATGCTCTTAAATCACTATGATATGATTTGCCAGGGCTTATGAGTGAAAAGCATAACTTAACCCTCATCCAAATCTTGGAACAGCTATCTAAATGAACATACACTGCAGCGAGGACACTGACAATATCACTGATAGGAAATATTTGCAGGTCAAAGTCTTAACATCTTTAAATGACGAATCACTACTTATGTGCCATGAAGTACCGGCTAATGCCTATGGTCACATTCCAGAGCTAGCAAGCTACCTACCGCTTATGATCCTAAGGCACAACAGAATCTCAAGCTATATTATGAAGATGATGTGATTGAGCTCTAGATCAGGAAAAGATAGTGGACTGGTCCCTTCCTCACCCCGATTTTAGTCCCTTAGTATAGTTGGTAAACTTTTGGGGTGGTGCAGTCTTGGCAAATTTGTAGGGCATCTCCTTTCACACAAAATTTTTCAGGGAGATGGTTTGTCTCCAGAATCAAAGAAGCACTAAGACAATATGAATTAATTAAAAACCCCCACACAGTAACAGTAGGTAGACTCAGCTATCAACATTTAAGTCAGTTATATGTCAAAACTTACAGCAGGTCATGGCATATAGAAGTGATTAATAACACCAAAATAACTGGCTCTCTGAATAGTACTTCTGAAAAAACAGGCTCTTCTCAATTTCTAACTTCGCAACTTCTCAACTGTTCAGTGACTGCTATGTAAGTTTAACATCCTCATCACAAGGATGATACTGATATCTAAACTGTGACAAAAACTTTAAGACCACTAGTCACAGGGGTCACTTATCCAAGAACAGGGTATTTCAGCTCCTTGGTGTAGAGGCTACTTATCCATAAGAAGCAGTGTCCCCCAAAACCACAAATACCTCCAAAAGAAAAGAAACTGGATGACAAAGACAAAAAGTTGAGTTGTACTTCAAAGAAAAATAAGGTTTTTGAAGTCAAATGGATATCTTTACATTAAACCTGATGTCAACATTCAATTAGAGGAAGTTTTTCTGGTGGCCTACTCAGGCGTCCTGCAGTAGTCACTGCATCTTTCCACAGACCATCAAGTTCTGGCTGTTTCAGTCATACCCCACTGGTCAGACCCAGCCTGGCAGCCCTTCTATTCCTGTCTTCTAATGTGACTGAAGCCAAGAAGCTGGATGGAGATAAAGAGGCTTCCTGGGAAGGAACATAAGACTTGGCTTTAATGGGTCACACTGTCAGGGGCCAAAAGTGAATGCCTCAGGAAGCGTACAAGAGTAGAGCAAGCATGTATCAGTATCAGTACTTTCTCAAAAGATCTCCCAGCCTCCAACAAGTTGCAGCTCAAAGACTTCCTAAACCAAACTTAGTATCTTTCTATTTAATATTAAACACTGCCAACAGGTTTCTCCTCCACAAACTTAAAACAGTGTCTGTTGAACCCACATAAGCCTTTAACATCTGTAGCAACCTATGGCAAGAAGGTCTGTAGCTTAACTACCTATTGTGTGAAAAGTACCTCCCTTATTTGTTCTGAACCTGCCACCTGCTAGGCTCACTTCATGCCTCATGGTTTCTGTATTAGAAGACTAAACGTGCCAAGATTTAAATACAGATACCAAGAAATACTGTTAGTAAAGGTTCCCAGAGCACAGATTGCACAGAATATAGGCCTCATGAGATCGATCCATTGTGCTTGCTTGCAACCTCTGTTAAAAGTCCAGGTTGAACAGAGAAAACAAATATGATGTTGCCAACGGTTTGTTACACACCCTCAGGCCAAGAAAGATCAGAGATCAGTGCTTTAACTGCATTGGAAACAAGAAGCCAGAAAGACAACCACTCAGGGAGTATCTTTAAGAAACATGCTGACGCGCAAACAAACCTTATTGTCCAGATGTGAGTGAATATGAGAAAGAGGCTCTGACTTCTCTAAATAAAGGTGCAGAGATAAAAATAGAACTGGTCAGAAACTAGAATTTCCAGCCCATGCAAAACTCTAATTTCTTGACATTTGTTTTCATCTTGCATTGGTATGAGGAGTCAGAATCTTGAAATAGTTCAATTTGCAAACATCAGGATGAAACATTTCAATAACGTCAACATGTTCTAGATGTCAAGACATATTAAAATAATAAAAGAATTGAAAGGAAATTAAATGAGATGAGAAAGGCAAAATGAAACAAAACAAGAAAGTTGAAACATAATACTTCGTTTCAATTTGCAATCATTTCAGAACTTTTCTTTCCAAAACTCCATTGAAGCTGACAAGCTCATGCAAAACATTTCCATTTCAATGAGACAGCATTTTCCAGTGGAAAACTGTTTCGGAGAAGACTGTTTGACCAGCACTAACCAAAGCTGCTCTGCTCTATGCTTGACAACCTTTCACTGGACTTCTACTTGCACAGTCTAGAGAAGAGCTTGTCTCCAGTAGCAGTACATCCATGCAACATTGTCAGTCATGCATGCAAATACCTCTGGGGTTTATGCAGATGATGTGGTAAGATACATATCCTGGATTTGCCCTTGCCTGTGACTTCAGGTCCCAGGCTGTAGATGTGGATGAAAGTCAGTAGTCCCTGAGCACACACTTGAAAAAGCAGGGGTTAGTCACTCAAAGAAGGATGAATCAGGTATTGTGCTACACTTAACCTATGCATCTGAGATGTCTTCTGCACAGGTAACAGAGCACCTTTGATTCCTGCCTCAAATCTTCCTCTTTCCAAGAAAGGCCAGCAAATTTCTGCAAACTGCTTTGGTGAAGCAAGCATCTGCTGAAGGCACTGGCAGTTTACACGGAGCAGTGTAGAGCCTGCAGAGGGCTGGTGATGGCAACGGCAGGGAGTCGTTAAACAGAATCCAATGTTGATGAGGAAATTACACTTGTTTCATTAGTGATCGGGGAAGGCGATAGCTCAGTTCCTCTTGGTCACAGTTGAGCTCAAAAGCTCATTATCCTGCTGCATGCATGCTTTCACTCCTCGTCAATAAACACCGTTTCCAGTGGCTGCCCTCCCTCCTCCCCAGCTCTCCATAACTGGGGCTCTTTCTCCTCTACTTAACCCATCCTTTAGGAACACTAAAAACAGTTTAGGGTGACAACTTAGAAGAGGATGAGAGAGAAGCCTTGAAATGTCAGAACTTCTCTCCATACAGAGAAGTGATGTTTATATGAGGCATTTCAAAGCAGAAATTCTCATCTGGACAGGTTTTTTCCTTCTTTGGGGGGCAAACTCATTCCAGTATATCCCACAGATAAGTCACTTCAGTAGGGATAAATCTGGACTATGCATTGCTTTCTGCCTTTGTATCATATCCCACAGCATCTTGGTCACCTTAGCAGGTTTCACCCATTCCTTCCTAGCTAGCTGTCAGGATTTTCAGTGCAGGATGTTTCTAGATATGGAAATATGCTGAGGTATTATCATTAAACCAGTATTTAGCAAGGTCTGTCACACAAAATGTTTTACACTGAAACTAAAAACTATTGTGACTAAAGTACCTTTGGATGGTGATTGTTCTTGATACATACACATTTTCATACTGACTACTTTGGTTATTACCCTGAGTGTCTTTAAAAAACCTGTCTGGACAGATTCTTCTCAAGTTTAAACCAGTGCAAATCCCCTGAGTTTAACAGACTTCATTGCCACCGTCTGAGAATCTGTGGTTTTAGTTTTAACTCTCCGGTGAGGGGAGATTTGCAGAGATTACAGTATAATTAATTGACATTTCTTCGGTAATTGTATTACAGGCATCCAGCCTGTCTTGTGTCTTGCATTGCCTTCTT